CCTGGGTGGGGGGAATTTTTCTGGAAGCTTTTAAAATACAGATCCCTGTGCCCATTCAATAAGTAGCTGTGACCCCAGATGATCCTCAAACAGATCCAGGGAATGAGCCACATTTTGAAGTTCTCTACCTGCATGGAAAAGTCCCTTTTTAAAGATAGCTGGGGAGATTTTTGTTTTATCAATAGTACATTTACTTGGAGATACATAAATAGGTATATAAGCATATACACATATACAGACATTGCTGTTTTTTTGTAGGAGAAAAAGTTTGAATGTCACCAATTTCATATTACCTAATAAGGTTTGAAAGAAAGTGTCGTAAGTGGGGTCAGGGGAGAGGAAATGTCACTGAACATGAACGCACCGCTCAGTGGTGTTTCCGAGCCGTTGCCCTGAGGTGTGGGAACTCCAGGTTCACATTCACCTCTCTGGCCTCTCTGGGCCAAAAGCTAAAGAACACTGAGGGGTTCTTCCCTTTCCCCCGACCTCGTGGCAGAGATGGCCCCTCCAGGTGTAATGTGTGTGTCATCAGAGCCCCAGCTCAGCATCTTGGGAATCATCAGAAACACTGGGATTCTTCAGCAAGAATGCATTTTCCAGGGCAGAAGTTAATCTGAGCAATTGAGCTGATTCGTGCAGATGGCAGCCATCAACACATAGGACGGAGACTAGGATCTAAAGACATAAAGCCCTCCACTTTGGCCATCAAAGTCCTAAGATGTTCAAAGTCAACAGTTCTATACCTTAAATTGTATTCTTTTTTTTTTTTAAATAAGATTGATGTACTAGGATGTTCCCTATAAATTATTTATAATACTTCTCCCTCTCCCCAACCAAAAGGGGACTGTAATAAAGAATCAATAGATTATAAATAGAACATTTAACATAGCAAAATACTATGTGACTGCTAAAATCACATTTTTTAAGATGAATGATGTGGCAAAAAAAAAAACATTGAGGCAACCACCATCTTGAGTGTCTACTGTATGTCAAACCCTGTGCTGAATGCTTACGATGGAAATGACAGTTCTGACCTGGACGAGCTTTCAGTCTAGTGGAAGAAAGAGAGGAGTAAACGTAATGGAGCAAATGCTCAGAATGAGGTACTTCCTATGGGCTCTGGGACTCCTTCCTAAAGAGGGGCAATTAACCCAGACAAGGGGTCCTGAAGGATCACAAGAGCATAGACACTTGAACTGGGTGGGCAAGAGTTGGCCTTAGTGAAGACCAAGTGAAGGGGCTTTCTAGAATGACAGTGGATGCTGGAGGGTAGTATTCGGGCATCCTTGGAAGGATGCATTCCAGCTGGAGCTCAGGTGGCTGGAGAAGGGGTTGGGGGGAGAGATGGTAAAAATAGCAGCATGTCTCCCAGTGTTCAGTGTCTAGGAGCTCTGTATCCATTGTCCCATTTTGTGTCATTCCATGACTGTACTAGGAAGCGTCAGGGCAGGCTTCTGACCAGAAATGTCCAACTCTGAAGTCTGCTCTCAGCTCTGCCCTGATGGCTGGGGCAGTGCACAGAGGTCCAATCATCAACACCTCGTTTTCCACATAAAGCAGCTCGAACATGGAGCCAGGCCGAAATTTAGAGCATGAGTTAAAATAGCCAAAAATGGGAAAAGGCCTCCACCTCCCCACAAAAGGGAATTAAGTAAAAAAGTTACATCCATTCAATGGCATATTGTGCAAGCATTAAAATGACAGTTATGGACAATAGAAACATGGGAAATTTTTTAATGTAGTATTTAGGACTTTTTCCTAATGTAAAATGAAAAAGGTTCATTATAGAAACTTTGAAATTTTCAGAAAAAATGATTAAGAAAAGTAATCCTACCATCCAAAAATAACCAGCATTCATATTTTGGTATACTTCTTTCCATGTGCGTGTGCATGTGTGTATACACACAAAAATTAGGCTTGTAAAATATATAGTTTTGTGTCGTGTATTTGTTAATTGACATTATACTAAAAGCATTTTCCCTTGCATGCCATTAAGTATTCTCCAAAAACATACATTTTAATGCCGTTACAATCCATTTCATAGACCAATAAGTATTTATTTATTTATTTAAAGATTTATTTATTTATTTATTTATTTGACAGAGAGAGAGAGCGAGAGAGGGAACACAAGCAGGGGGAGTGGGAGAGGGAGAAGCAGACTCTCCACTGAGCAGGGAACCTGATGTGGGGCTCGATCCCAGGACCCTGGGATCATGACCTTAGCCGAAGGCAGACGCTGAATGACTGAGCCACCCGGGCGCCCCACAAATAAGTATTTAAATGAATAAAAGACAGGAACACAAAATTGTACAGACTTTGCGATTACAGCTATATAAAATTGGCATAAGAAACAGATTAATAATGCTTGGGTTAGGGGCAGTTTTTTCTCTAATGCGGTTACTTCCATGTCTTCGTTTTTTAAAAAAATTTCAACCATTGGCGTTAATTCATTCAACAATGAAAATTGTTCCATCATTTTACAACTGACCGAATTATCCATGAATGATAAAATTGTGCTCCTGTTTGACATCCAGTCCTGGGTTTGGGTTTGGAGAAAATGCACATTGACTGAGAAAGAGGGAAATCCAACTGTCGGTGGTGCCCGTAGGCCCTGTCATAGCGCCACCATCCCCCTTCCACCGGAGAGCTGCAGAATTGCTTTGTCAATGTAAAAAGTCATAAAAACCAGGAGGGGCTTGTTTTATGGGGCTGATAGAGTTTCATGTTGATTTATTAAGTCTAGTGGTTTTTTTTTTTTTTTTCCTTTAGAACAGAGTCACAAACAAGCCAAGAAGGAAAATTGAGATTCTAATCAGAGGCTTTGGTGATTTGTGGCTCTGAGAGTGGAGTGTCATTTAATTTATAGTCTGCTCAGGTTTGTGTGTGGCACCTCCAACATGATGTGGGGAGAGAAATAGGGAAGCTAGTCTGTGCCAGCAAGGATGTAATTCGTCAGTTGGGTGAGAGGTGATGGAGAAAGGCCAGGGGGGACTGCTGTATCAAAGCAGATCCTAAAGTTCCTTGAAAGAGCTACAAAACTGGTAGAAAGTAGGTGTTTTCCCCCTACTCCAAAAGAAATTACTTGGCCCCCTTTTAGGGAACCGTTCTGTCGTATATCTGTCTGTAAAGCTCTAGATGTCAAGAAAACAGAGATGCTTAGAGGAAACGATAATATCTTTGGGAAGTCACTTTGAATCTAAGACAGGATAGATTATAAAATTTAACACTGTCTTAAACATAATCCTATATGACAACGAGGAAGCTTCACTTGATACCATCAAAACATTCATTTGCCAGGCCCCAGCCCCTACTGCCTGCCACAGCCCCCAGCCAATCTCCTCCCCTCACAGCCGTGCACTCCGCTCCAGAACCACAGTGTGCTGAGCCCCCTGAATGCTGTTTGATGCCTCAGGGTCTTTGCACAGCCACACCCTTCCTCCTGCCCAAACACTACATCTGAAAAACATTCTTCCTCCTTCAGAGCCCAAGAAGATAGCCCCTTTCCCCAGGATACCTTCCTCTAACTGCCCTAAATGACTGTTCTTCATTTTCTCAGGGCCCTTGTGGCATGACCCTATCATTCATTCATTGTGCATCTGTCCATCCTGAGCCACTCGAGTTCAAGGGCTGGGTCTCACTGTTTCCTTACCACCTGGCACATGGTAGACACTCAATACATTCGTACTAAAGTAAGTGCTTCCATTTTATAACACAAGGTTCTCTTATTAAAGTGTGTGAAAAAGCCTTAGGTCCTAAAGCCTGGGCAGGCTCCCCTTGGTCCGAGTGATGCCTGCACCACCCCCTTCTTGCTAGAAGGAGAGGCGATGACATAAGAGCCTTCTCGAGCTTCTCAAAACGCTGATTAATAGTCTCTGAATCCCCAGCTTAGAAGACACTGGAACCTCTCCCTCAAGTCTGACCTACCCTGCAAGGGAACAGGAGTTCGCAATGTTACTCACCCCCGTGAAGACTGCGTGCCTGGCAATCTGATTTAATTATTTCAGGAGCTTGGTCCAGGCTGCTCTTATCTGCCTAGGAAGGAAAAAAAAAAAAGGCTCTAGTAGGTTTCTTGGCCACTTTTGACTCAGTGTTATCCCAGAAGAAAACAGAATAATTGTTGTTTTTCTCCATTTTAAGCCTAGATTCGCCTCTACGGCAGGGTTTTATTTATATGTTAAGTCTTCCAGAGAAAGCTTTCTGTTTCTTCATGTTAGTGGAAATTTATAGTGTTGCTCCAGTCACCCTCAGCAATAATAGAAATTTCTGTAAATATATATGTGTTTTCCAGGGTTTCTCAGCCTCGGCACAATTGGCACTTTCGGCTGGATAACTCTTTGTGCGGAAGGCCGTCCTGTCCCTTGTGGGATGCTTGGTGACATCCCTGAACTCTATCCACCAGATGCCAGTCACAGCCCAACACACGCTTGTGATCGTCAAAAATGTCCCCAGATTCTGACACATAAAATGGGAAGAGGGAGGAGGACAAAATCATTCCCTGTTAAGAGCCACAGATATACATGCGTGTGCCCAGCCCACACACAGACACATACACACTATAATATATAGAAATATATACATAAAACACTTTCTTATAACCTCTCATAGAGCCTTGATGGTTGGCATATTCTGCCTGGCTTTTGTTTCTTTTTTTTTTTAAGGGCACTGGGACCAACAATCACCAGCTGCCCAGGTACCAAAAAATTATGCTTCCAAAATATCTTTTTTTTTTTTTAAAGATTTTATTTATTTATTTGAGAGAGAGAATGAGAGACAGAGAGCATGAGAGGGGGAGGGTCAGAGGGAGAAGCAGACTCCCCGCCGAGCAGGGAGCCCGATACGGGACTCGATCCCGGGACTCCAGGATCATGACCTGAGCCGAAGGCAGTCGCTTAACCGACTGAGCCACGCAGGCGCCCTTTTTATTTTTTATTTTATTTTATTTTTTTTTAAAGATTTTATTTATTTATTTGAGAGAGAGAATGAGAGAGAGCACGAGAGGGAAGAGGCTTCCAAAATCTCTTGATGTCGATTCCGCACGAAGAGCAATGGAGCTGCCCTACGTGTGCCACTCACGACAGAAGCCCTTTTTTTTTGGCTTTTGTTTCTTATATGAAAAATCACTTCTTTTAGAGACACTTTGCCAGTTTAGAGGTGCAATGTGGTAATGGTGGTGGTGATGATGATGATGATGTGTGTGTGCGTGCACGCACCACACCTGAATGCAAAACCAAGGCTCCAAAGAAAGGTGACCAGGTTAACTTTCCTTTTCCCGGGGGAAAGCACCACAGGACGTCGCTAAGTGCCACTTACAGGAAGGCAGTGGTTCCGTTTTTGCTCTCTTCTGTTTCCCCTCTTTTGGCTTTCAGCATCCTGTTCCAGAGCTAGCTCTTGGGGCTATGGCAGACCTTCCTGGAAAGTCTGGTTCTCATACACTGCCTCACGTCTACCCCTAACTTGCTCAGCTAGAGGTAACAGAGGTAGTTTTTGCTTTGCTTACTGCATGCCAGCCTCCATCCTAAACCCTGGAGCCATGGTATTTCTTTTAGCCCTTACAGTAATTCTGTAATGTAGGCATCTGGGAGCAAACGGACATCAACACTGCACACACATAGCTGTTGAGTGTCACGGCTTGCTCTTGACCGTTACACTGTCTTACCTTCCGAAGGATTGGTGAATTGGCTTATCAAGAACCTCCTAGGACCACATCATGAACTATTGAGATAAATGACTTTCACAGTTTTGATATGATCTCTTCCACTGCGGGTTGAAAGTGAGAGGGGCTGGAGGAAAGGAAAATATACTTAAAATTCTCATAGAGGTGATCAGAAACATGGTTGGGGAAGGCCGGTCCTTTGTCTTCTAGCTACATGTGATCTAATGCATGTCTTGTGATTTGTTTATATTAATTAAGTGGAAGATATAATTGGCTTTTTTTTTCAATTTCAAATAACGCATTAAAGCTCTAAAATGCAAAGCGGCTAGATTATTTCTCCCCAAATTTAAATTTTCAAATGAGCAAGTGATTCTCCTGAAGCCTAGGACCTTCCATGAGTTTTTTGGTGTGTTTGTTTTTTTTTTTTTTTCTCCCTTTGCGGAAGTGTTATCACAGGCTGACTCTGATCAGGAGCTTTGAGAAATGAGAACTTCGACTTAGGGCATGTGAGACATTCCCAGGGAATCCCCAGTGATTCCCACCGCTCTCCTGTAAGTGGAAAACATTTCCCCATCATCTCCCACCTGGACAGCTGGGTCACCCACCCCATTGGGGAGTACAGAGCAGCCTTGGCATGTCGTTCTCTTACTTAGTGTGGTGGGTAAGCATTTTTGGCAGAAGGTAAAAATCTTTTGGGGGGGCAAGGGGTGGATTTTCTGATGAAGATGATATCTGGAAAGGAGAGAGAGACACAGCCAGGGCAGACCACCCTTCCCAGGATTCTCGACACAAGCCCAGCGGTCTCCATTAATTCTCCTGCCTCCTCCCAGCTGAGAGAGGCAGCACTTTCTCCAGAGCACAGGATCATGGGACGGAGGAGAAGCTGAAGGTGGAGGGTCAGCGATGGGGGAGTCCCCCCAACAGGATGTCCAGGACCCTGGTGTTATTTGAAAAAGCCCCACAGCTCATTCTGACAGGCCTACCTATTAGGAATCCTCTGCATTAGTCAGACACCAGAGGATGTGGTCCAAACCCAAAGTTCAAAGTTGATGAGGAATGTTGAAAACTCAAAGATTAACAATTTGAATTAAGTGAATGACTATGTGTTGGGTGCCTGTGGGGCTGGCGGGAATTTCCTTAGTGTTGGAAGAAGCTTTCATATCCCTGGACTTCCCCAGTGCAGGTGCGATTTTCTCTATAGGGAACGCCCTTCTGTATCTGGCAGGTGTCTGCTCATCTTCCAGGAGCCCACTGCGGTAGTGTTTCTTCCATGTGGAATGGTTGATATTCCTCTGTGCTCTCCTGCCGTATGCAGAATCCAGGAAATACTTTAATTCCACACTAGAATCTAGAAGATGGCTCCAGGTGGACGGAACAGCAGGTGCAAAGTCCCTGTTGTGAGAATGAGTGCAGTGTGTTCGAGAAACAAAAAGGACAGTGTAGGACACGAGGTCAGATAGGGAGGAAGGGACAAAATCATGCAAAACTTGATTGGTGGTGAAAAGGACTTTGAATTTTATTCTAAGTGAGATGGGAAGCCATTGAGCTGGAAAGTGTCAGGATCAGATTTCTGTACTGAGGAGTTGCTTTCAGAGCGTTTTCCTCACCCTTCATTCACTCGGCATTTATCACCAGCATTTAGCACTGCCCTAGATTCTGAGGAGTGAGTGGTGGATGAAAGACAAAGATACGTGCTTTTAAGAAGCACGCGGTGTGGTGTGGAGACCACTGTGCCCTTGGCCAATGACAGCATGCTGGGCTAGTGCCGTGGTCTGCGTGGTGGAGGCCTGCAGACCCAGGATGAAGAGCCCCAGGACAAGGGCGGATGAGGAGGTTTTCCAGATGAGGACATTGTTAATGACCCTCCTAATCTGTGCCATAAAAGCAGGAGTTTATGTTGCTATGGGGATATGTAACAGGAGGACCTAGCCTAGTGTGGGGGAGGTAAGGGAAGAACCCTGGCAGAAAGGATTTTTAGACTGAGTTCTGAAAGGTGGGCGGTAGCTGGTCAGGCAGAGAGGTGAGGGAGAGTCCTGATAAGTGCCCAGCATGGGGGCGGGAGCATGATGATGAGAGATAAAGCTGGGTAGGTCAGTGGGGTCTGAGCCTGCAGGCCTTGAGGCTGCAGTCAGGGCTTGGGTCATTACCCAGAGATCTATGGTGAAAAAAGCATTTTAAAGAAAGGAGGGGGGTGCCTGGGTGGCTCAGATGGTTGGGCGTCTGCCTTCGGCTCAGGTCATGGTCCCGGGGTCCCGGGATCGAGTCCCGCATCGGGCTCCCTGCTCCTTGGGAGCCTGCTTCTCCCTCTGCCTCTCTCTCTCTCTCTCTGTCTCTCTCTGTCTCTCATGAATAAATAAATAAAATCTTAAAAAAAAAAAAAAGAAAGAAAGGAGGGACATGATTAGAGTTGCATTTTAGGAAGGCAGTCCAGCTGCATGGTGGAGAACGTTCTGGAAGGAAGCAAAGACAGGGAGGAGGACAGTGAGGAGTTAAGCTGTAGCCTAGATGAGAATGGATATTGTGGCTCTGGGGCAGAGTGGTGGGTCTGAACCGTGTAGGAGACGGAGAAGGAGCCTGGGGGGAAAGATGAACCGGTTTGGAAATGTGTCAGAACTGCATGTTGAGATAACTGATAAAATAGGGAGGAAGTACTGTGATGTCAGAGGAAGACCCTCAGTTGGTCTTTGGACAGGTCAGGCAGCTGCAGGGAGATATCCAGGAGGCACTAAATATTCTGACACAAAGCCCCACAGAGAAGTGTGAAGAAGGGATCCGTCCTTGGGAGAATTAACGTGTGGATAATCGAGGTCACGGGAATGGATGGGTTGCTGGGGGACGGTGTGCAGAGATAACTGAGGAACACCCGTATTTAGGACCGCCTAAGAACTCCCATCAGATGTGTATTGAAACCCCAGACCCTTCAGGGTCTCACAGCTGTATGGGCTGTGGGCACCCGGGATGCTGAGCACCAGTGTACATTCAAGGCGCCCCTGCTAACGGGGGGATCCTTGTAATGGGGGCCTCCCTGATGATAAATTAGCTTAGGTCTCTGCCTGACAAGGGCTTCCAATCACCTTCACATTTCAGTTGTTTGGAGGGCTTTTGTGGGCGAATAACCAGTCTTGTTTGCTGTTTCTTCTTCAGGATTAGAAGGAGTATTTTAGAATATTTAGAATGTTTTCTTCTCTTGGCTTTATGCCCATGCTGTATGAGGAGCCACAAAGGAGGATGGGCCTTTTTTTTCTTACAGACTTGAGCAGCAGCCTTTCCACTAAATTCACACCAGCAGTATTTCAGGGAGGAGGGGGCCGAGAGAGGAAAGGGGGAAGGTGGTCAAAAGTACAAACTTCCAGTTATAAGATGAATAAGTTCTGAAGATATGATGTACAGCATGGTGACTTTCGCTAACAATATTGTATATTTGCAAGTTGTTAAGAGAGTAGATCTTTTTTTTTTTTTTAAAGATTTTATTTATTTATTTGACAGAGAGAGACACAGCGAGAGAGGGAACACGAGCAGGGGGAGCGGGAGAGGGAGAAGCAGGCTTCCCGCTGAGCAGGGAGCCCGATGCGGGGCTCGATCCCAGGACCCTGGGATCATGACCTGAGCCGAAGGCAGACACTTAACAACTGAGCCACCCAGGTGCCCCAAGAAAGTAGATCTTAAAAGTTCTCACCCCCCAGCATGCACATATACACACAAGTTGTAACTTTGGGAGGTGATGGATGTGTTAACTAACCTTCCGGTAGTAATCATTTCACAAAATATACACATATTAAATCAGTACATTGTACACCTTAAACCTACACGATGTGTCAGGATGTCAGTTATGTCTCGGTAAAGCTTGAGGGGGGGGAAGGAAATATGTCATACGGTTTCAGAACAGTTACTAAATGTTATAGAGAATTGACATTTCCTTAAACCAGAGGCATGGCCAGGAAGAAACAAACATCTAGTGACTCATACTTAGCAAAAGCAGAATTGATCATTCTTGGTAACACTGGATTATGGTAATACAATTTATTTTGATTACTCAGAATGAGAATTGACTAAACTGGCCCTTTCAAATCCTGCTAAAGTCTGTATGGACTCACATGATAGTCCAAGCAACACCAGGCACACTACCATGCAGTAAGTCCTCGTGGAATGTTATTCACCATTGTTATTGTTGTTTTGTTACTATTTATTATACTTGCATGATTATGCATCGCCTCGAGCAGGGACTAAAGATCTTGATCTTTTTATATCCTTGGGACTAGCAGAATCCTTGACACAGGGTAGAAATAAAGTATCTTATATTGGTTTCTAATTGGTTGATTATGTTAGTAATCTTTTCCCAGTTGGAGTGTAATCTCCTTAAAGACAGGAATGATGTCTCCTGCTTCTTTACTTCCAAAAATGCTAGCCCTTTTCTGAGCACATGGCCGTTACCTGCT